AGTGAGGAGGAAGGGTGTTCGTGGGAGTCAGGTTGAGAATTTAAAGGAAGTCTGTTGAAATGCTGGCAGAATGACTGTATGAAAGATCTGTACTTAAATCATGTAAATAAGACACTGGCAGGACTCAAACCTAATTTTCACCTCAATTATTTGGGTAACTCTAGTCCATGGGGTATTACACTTCAGAGGTGTCCCAACTGGCATTTCTTTCTTCCAATACAGGGCAGCTACAAAACTGATGGATGTTTATCAGTCCTGGCTATGGTTAGACTGGAAATTAATAGCCAAGTCCTAAAGACTGGACTGATGAAATGACAGGACTGTCCTCTGAGCAGTCCAATAGGAACGATAAATTCAAAATATTTTAGAAAGATATTTCTAAAAATGTGTCAGGGATTCTACAACAGCATGATGTGGGACACACCATTTCTGAATTTATATTATTACACAGTACTTATATCATATTGATGCTTTCAGGCACATTCAATGCTTTTGAAACATGTCCAGGAGAAGTGCCATAGCACCACTCCTTTCTCAGCATGTGATTTGGCTTTTGGAAAATGTTCTTTTGTTTGCTTTTCATTTTTAAAATCTTCTTTGGATACTGTTAATGACAGGAAACAAGAGATTGCTTTCAGTGGTATAGAAAAGTCTCAAGATCCCCAGTGAGAGGGTCTAACTCATGTGCCCTTGTCATACTGATTGACAAAGCTAGGCCAAAATGGATTTTGTTTGCCAGAACAGAGCCAGCAGAGTGTGCTGGACTTATGGCTTTAGTTTATTTCTTCGAATCTCTTTACAAAAGAAAAGTATAGAAGTGAATGTAGGACGTTTCCTAGGATGTCATGAGCAGTCTCAGTAAAAAATTCCCTCTCAATGTGGGAATCTGGGACATGAGTGATCTCCTCAATTCTTTCATCCTGCCTGTGACATCAGTTTTTGTGTCGTCTTATCTATCATATTAAAAAAACCCAAAATCTTCAGTTTACAACAGGAAATTGAAGGACATTTTGGGATTTACAATATAGGTATGCAACTGCATGATCCCCAAAAACCTACACTTCATCTTTCAGCATCACATTGCTATAAAACCCCTAAACTACAAAGCATAAAACTCCAACAAAAATGGAGTTTTGTAATTGTTCAAGGAACCTATGGAACCCAGGTAGCTAAATCCCTGACATTCCACTGACAATCTCAGGCAACAGCATAGCAACATTTACTTGCAATTTTATTTTGCATTAAAAAAATTGATATGATGTTTTAATTGGTATGAGAACCATTTAGGTAAAGCCCAACTGTCCTCTAACATAAATATGGCTTTGAAACTTCACAAAAACATCTTCATGTGCTGGGATGTCCCACCCTTGCTAAGTGGAGCACTTAAATCTTTGCTTATTTCTAAACTAATTGTTAAAAACTGTTTTTTTTTTTCAGTATAATTGCTTTTCACTATTTATGAGATGTTCACAGAAGTCTCTACAGAATCACCATTCAAATTTTACCTGAAAAAACACATTTTGCTCTAATACTGAACACTAACCCTCTCATCTACTGACTCTTAATATTCAGCACAGTTTTCAAGCAGGAGAAAAAAAAATCACCTTTATTATGCCTTGCTGAGCAATGACAGGAAAGTCTGCATTCCCATGCATACCCACTTTCTGCTATTTAGTCAACTAATTCCCTTCCAAATCAAAAAGATGATGATGATTGGAATCTCACATTTCAGATACTCAATGCATGCAACTTTTCAACAGTTCACTGACAGAATACCAACTAGCTCATAATATTTTCCTCTTTTTTTTTCCTCTTCCTTGGTTGCCAGGCAATCACAATAAAAAGAGGTAAACAAACAAGTCATGCCATAAGCAACAGAATTAACTAAGTTAATTCCGGTTTCCCACCAATCTCTGTCTTATGGACTCAGATGTCTAATAAAAGATGAGTGCAAAAAAGTCTCTTCCTCATTGTGACCATTAATACCATTTCTGTGTCTCTTCCTCTCTTCCTATCACTTTTTCATAAGTCTTGTAGGGATAAAAGCCCTTGGAAGCCTCTGCTCCTCTGTGAAATTGTTAAAATTCACCTCTGATTTCAAAAACTACTAAGCAAGATCTTCCTTTCCCTTCCATATACACACATTTAAGTGCATATATATCTGTTTATTTCCCATTTTCTCTGGAGATTATGCCAAAAAGAAGGCAATGGTTTCACATACAAGCCAAGTACAGTTTTTAAAACTAAGACTAGTGTAGGCATGATAAATTTCTATTAAGATTTTAATAGAAAAAATAAAAATATAGTATATTTCCCAAAAAAACCCCAAAATGTTCTATTATTCTATTGCTTAAAGTTAGGCCAATGAGGGTTTCATGAAGCTCCTAGAAAAAGCTGAAATATTCCAAAGCTGCATAATACATGTTCAATTCCTATAAATACTGAGGCGACTAATGAGCAGGCATTTGAGCTATTACTCTATATTCTGCTAACACACTTTGAATTAGTGTTTTCCTCAGTGACTCATTTTATAGGAAATTAACAATTTTTTTCTTAACAGAAGGAAAAAAGTTTCAGCTTCAGTAAAAGTCCTCAGTAAGAGCATAAGGTGGATATTCCTGGTGAAAAGTTCATTCCATTGGAAATAAGAGATAGACATTGTGCTAAGTAAGACTTAAGGAAAGGACTAGAAAAATCAAGAAATAGTATTGAACAGAGGGAAACCACAACAGAAAAGACAAACCATCACAGGCATTTATATCTTTATAAAAGAACCCAAAACATCTACAAGTCATTTTCTGACAAGTTTATGCTCATGACATTAATTACCTGAAAATATAACTCAAGTTAAGTATAAAACATATTTTATATCACAGAAATATAACAGATTAAGATTGAAAGCCTCAGGCATGAGAATATTCCTCACTTATATAAATAACATTTGTATTATTTAGTTTAGGGTCTCACTTAAATGACTTTGCATAAGGGGACTTGACCTAAAATCTTGCAGTATAATAGCGAATTATATCATAATCCAACAAAATATATTAAGTTTAAAACTTTCTTTCTCTGTTGCATGCTGTCCAATAGTTCAAACACATTTGGGAAACAGGTTGAAGGATTTAAGATAAAATTAACATTTTTTATGCCTCCTTTGTTTTAGCACTTAGATCTTCTGTGAACTTTTTATTGTAATATTAAATATGTCTAAATTCAGATCAGTAAGTGAATCAAGATTTTTCATATGCTGAACATACTTCTGATATATACTACTGAACTTCAAACCAACATACAGAGAGAAAGACCTTTTCCAGTTATTTGAAAGTAAAAGTGTATAAAAGGAGAGTTTTATGTAGACAACAGCTAAAATTCTGGTGAGAAGTGAGGAAATCACATCAACACCAAAAATTAACACATATTTTAGGACAGCTTGAGATTAGCAATCAAATAATTCAAGTCTAAATGAAAAATGGAACCTTCCAACATACTATATAAAAGCTTAACAAAATAGTAGCAGGATGCCAGAGGTCTTAAATCTTGCTATTATCAAAAACCCTGTAATGACCATATATCCTAGAAGAATGCATTCCAGGCCAGCTCATCAATATGAAAACACTTTCTTCATAACATCACCAAAGATGCTGATTCAAGACCCATTATTACCAACCAGCTGAGATCAGAGGACAGGAAATTATCTGCTTTGGGAGCTTAAGAAACTTAAAAAGTACCATGGGATTTTTTTTTTTCCACATTTGGCATTCAAAAAAAATCAATGAAATTACCTCCTGGCACTGGCTCTAGCCCAGTTTTTATTTTCAGCTTTTTTTTCTAAGTTGCAAATGAAAGAAGAAGAAGTTGCATTGCAAGAGTTTTTTGATTAAGTTACACAGACACTGAAATTATCATTACCATTGCATAAACCCTCTTAAGACAGTTTTTGGGACAGTTTCCCCTAAAGCTGTTTTACCAGCCTATGTTTTTACATTACCCAGTCAGGACTGTTAAATGAGAAAGCTCTACTGTGACAGAAAATAAGCATGTTAGAGAGAACATAAGGTTCAAAGAAGTTTATATATTATTATAAATTACATACAACAATATTCAGTCTAAGATTCACGTGTTCTTACCACCATGTTCTCCCTCTCTGTTCAGTTCCCCACTGAAGTCTTTACATTTGTGGGAGCAGACAAAGTACCCCTGACAGCACATCATCGTATTCAGGAGATTTTGTTCACGGCTTTAACTTAAAAGTTGGGGTTTCTTCATAACTTAGCAAAACATTTCAGAATGACAAGACACAATATTAATATCTGTTGAGAGCTCAGGTGAGATAAGAAACTCATTAAGAAGATCCAGATACTAAACTTCCCCAACAAAACTGAGATCTGGCATCTTACCACACAACTAGCTTGAAATTTATCCCAAATTATCCAAAACAATCAGATCTAATGGAAATTCAAACTCAAGGGAAAAAAATAATTTTTTCTTTTATTTTTTTTCTCCCCCAAAGGAAAACTCTTTTTTCTCCTCCAGAGGAAAACTACCCTTTTTTAAAGAAAACCTTATCCTCCTCACAAGAACATGTGTTTTCTGGCACATGACCTGACAGGCAATCGGAGAGGAACCATGTCCCACGTGCTACCTCTAGCACAATATATATTACCACAGTGATCTGAGTTTCTTTCCAAGTAAACAAACCTCATTTCACCAAGGCATAAAAACTATATTCATAATTTAACATAAATCTTGACCCTCTGTCTCAAAACAAAACCACCAGAAGCATTGGATGCACTAATGTCTCTTAGTTTTTAAAGAGCTGGGAAGCAAAATAAAATAAATATTGCAATAAATGATGTTAACAAAAACAAGTGCAACTGTCTTATAGATGCTAAGCACAAATAAATACACACAATATTGTGAAAGCAAGAGTACATACCTTATCATGGGAATACTAGGCTAATAATTAAACCAAACTGCAGAAAGATAAGTAAAGCCATCTTTTTTCCCCCCATCTCTAGCTGCCAGACAGATGAGCACTTCATCATCAAACTTGTAAGGACAGCTGATTCTCACCCTTCTGCAAGCAAAATCCTCTTAATCATAGTGAGGTAAAAAGGTCACCACAATGAGGAAAACATCTGACTTTCTAAAACATGTGAATCCAGCATTCAAACACCCATTCAGAGCCTGGACAAGTAAAGCATTTATAGGGGTTTTTTTCTAGGCTGCATGTCTCCTGGAGAAACAGATTTCAATCTCATTTCTCTCACAGGTTAAGCAGATTTTCTGGGAAGTTCTCAACACAACAGTCCCCACGGTGGAAATCTGCACTGAACAATCACTCACATAAAAGCACCTTTCTCCACGAGCACTGCACAAACCAGGTAAGATTCAGCCTTTAAGTGTAGCTGGTTTCAGAGATAGAAATGAGTGGCTGTTTGGTACAATGAGAGTTCAGCAAAGAGAAATTTATCCAAGGTGGAACTCACCCCACGCTGTAGATGTGGCAATCTGGCGAGAAAAATGTGTCCTTAAGTAATTATAATTAGAAATGATTTCACACAGTGTTACACATAATACTTTCAGGCAATTGGCTCATAACAATAGGCTTTTATTTTTTAAAATTTATTCATAGTTAATAATAACACAGATAAAAATAATCAGGTCCTCCATCACTATCACCTTTTTCACCTAAAGCACTAATATTGGATGTAACCACACAAGTACTGATGGCAAACCTTTCCAAAGAAATGATCATGGCATAGTCAGTCAAGAATGGAAAGAATCTACTTCCCCAAACTATTTGCTGGTTAGGAAATATGAGGATATCGCTTGTCCACATTTATGCCTCCATTTTCTAATACATAGATTAGGAACGAATTAATAGTGGGGCAATATTTTTGTTATTGTTTTAGTTATTACTTGGACTCTAACAAAGAGTCAGTCATGCCTTCATAAAAAAACCCCAAACCATTAGCAAATGCTTTCAGAAGCATCAGCAAGCAGGAATTTTGAGGCATGAAACCATTACTTAAATGGGAAAACACCACTGCAATAGAGAAAGTGAAAAACATCTGTGGCACAGGAACACTTAAAATTTCACATTTGAAAAGCCTCTGCAGTTTGTTGCTTTGTATTTGGCAGCAAAACACAGATAAAAAAATATTTACATCAAAATGCACAAAACAGGTGGATAATATAGCATTTCCTTGCTAGTTTGGCTTTCAAAGCAAGGTATTTTTACACATTTCCTACAGAAATCCCAAACCACCCCATGTTCTCCTATTGTCATTAACACAACACTCAATGTACAGTGAAATTCAGTAGTGTTATGCTGGATGTAACTGCAAAAAACACCAGCTGCTGTATTAGGAATGGCATCCTTCCAGGTCTCAAATGTCTTATTTATATACAATGGAATCCTTCCAGCTGTTTAATATTTAGGGCTAATAAATATAATTGGCAGTACTACTGCACAAGGGCAAGTAACACAAATACATATAAAACTACTTCCCGACAGAAAACCTGATTTGTTCTTAGATGATTAAACCAAAGATGGATACAGAGTGCTGAGCACATTTTACATAGCTGCCTTTTTTTTTCTTTAATCCAAACAATATTTGCTTGTTTTCCAAGTGCAAAACTGAACAGAAAAAAAATACCAGGCACTGTTACACCAGGTGCTCTGAGACCAACTTTGCCTTCAACCAGTGTCTTCCACAGACCATGAATAAACTGGCCAGGTAGAAAGACAAGACACAGCACAAGTTTCCAGGGCAGGTGGTAGTTTATTATTGATTCCTTGGAAAGTGATGGATCACTCCAGAAAACAGTCACACCATAGCAGCCAGTCCAGAAGTGATACTTACTCTCATAAGCAATCCTTCTATGCATGTGCAGGACAACCGGACCTCTCACAAGCAGATGAACTCTATATGGAGTGAGAGGTGAGTACAATGAGGCTGAGAATGCAAACACAATAGAGGACATGCTCTAAGATTTGTGCCCCTATTTCCAGCTCTCTGGCAGACTTGATGTTGGCAAGTAATTAATGCTGAATGTAGCAGTCTTTCCTCCAACTCAATTTGATCGTCAAGTCCAAAGAGCTGGGGGTCTTTACGGGCAGTTTCCCAGACTCTGAGAAAAGCTTCAGGATCTGTGGCCTCCAACATGATAACCCCCTTTAAGATCACAACACTGAATGTAATCCTGCACAGCAGACAGCAAAAGGCAAGCACTGTGACTCTGTCCCTTCTGTAAGGCCTTGATTCCACTGAAACCTTCCTCAACTCCCTGGCACAACCCAGATGGAAAACTAATCTACAAATGGAAATGTTTAATTTGCATGAGTGAGACACAGCTAATGCTTCCTAACTTCATATGGGAGAACAATTTAATTTGAAATCTTAAACAACTTCCATGACAGCTGGAGCCCAAATCAATTCCATAAAAGCCTGCTCAGTGTAATTACCATAATTCAGAGGTATCTGGGTAGTTTGGTTTTTACTTAGATCATATCTCATTGCTCTTTTTTGATATTCTTCACCTAAGCCATTACACACTCACAGATCATCTCCATGCTTCCATCTTTAGCACCATTTTTTAATAAAAACTTTCTCTTTCAACCTCTTTATTCGGGTAGTTCAGAACAGCATCCTTACCCACACGGAATGTCCTTCCAGTTAGGTACACAAAAGGTCTCACAGAAGGACTAACATGGCCCTCACCTCCCTAAATCAGCTCAGAATCAACTAATTGAACCTAAAACAACAGGTTCTTAAAAATCAATCAGGAGCTCTGCTGTTAACAAAATACGTGAAGTACTTAATTAATACTATGATCTTCTTCTAAGTCATCAATAAAACATGGCATTTTTCCTCCCAAAGTTGCCTCTTTATTCCTGTTGAAGGAAGCATACCTACTCTTTCCCTAAAGAAAACAACATCTGAAAAACTGTCTCAGCCATCACACCTTCCCTTCAATGAGTACAAGACAAAAATAGGTATGACATATACCTGAAAAGCATAATGTTGTTTCCTCCAATCCCTTGCTTGAGAAGTACCGGAAAAAATGGCAATAAATAAAAATAGTACATGTATTACTTTTTAAATCTAGCTATCATATAGGGTCTTCAAAACTAAGCACATGTTGAAATCAGAGAATAGTCATTATGCTTAAAAGGCTAAGTTAAAAATACCTCCAAAAAGGTTATTATTCTTTAGTCAACTGCTGAGTCAAAAAAGAAATTATAATTATATTTTTACTGTAATTCTATGGAAATTAATTTCTTAACCATTCAATTAGGAAAAGTTAGTTCTATGCACATATTTCCAGTTATTTTAATTGAAAAATATGTTTAATACAGGAACTCGTGGGTTGACATTTCATGTTTTCTAAAGATAAATTCATTTCAGTTCAACAAGAAGAAAGTAATTAGACTGGGAATTCTGGAGGTAGTCCCCAGTTCTCAACCTCTGGCTAAGATGCTCTTGATTTCTCAAGGCTCTAAAACATTATTAAACAATTACTTTTCTTACGTCAAGCTAAGGATGAAAGAGGAACTCATGCCTAATTTAATACGAGATAAATAAACAGAAGTAACTCAACCAGGACTTTAACCAAAGACTCTTGAGGAGCAATGGCATTAGCTAATTTTCACAGGTCTATACTGCAGCAGTACATTGGAGATACACCATTTTCTGAAAACACTCTGTTCATTATTTGACAAACTGTACACATTTAGAACTGAAAAAAGTAAGCATGTCACAGAAATACACAGTTTTACATGCAGAAACAAATTAAAAAAAAGAAAAATGAAGGAAACAAAAAAACCTCCAGTTGATCACAATCTTATAGCCATTGGGCAGCATTCAGGTTCAAACAATTTCAGTTTTGAGTGAACAGAAGCTCATGACACAAAACAGCTCACAAACACACGAAGTAAAACTTGAAAAAAATCTGCTGTTCACACCACATTACCTGTGTCTTGCACAGCATTTTTGCTGCAGACCCCTCAGTCACAGGTCACTGTAAGCCCAAGGAGGAGTCAAGTATCTCCTAGAATAGGAGACATTCAATCCTAAAAATATTGTCATATTTTAGAGAAGCCTCACAAAGAATCTCAAATTCAAATCTCATTTAATAGCTATATTTGTATATTTAATATGTGGGAGGTTGAGAGACATTAGCAGGAACACAAACTCCTGACCTATAACCCCACTAGCCAAATTCCTCCATAAGATTCTATATGTAAACATAAGGCTTGTATTTCATTTTCTGGCTTACTATGCTACAGTGGAACACAATGTGCTTCAAGAAATACACTACACTAATTATTATCATTGGTATCAATATTTTACTGCAGAGATTAAATAAGGTTCAGAGAATTATTGGAAATCTAAACATTGCTCATTAGCTCTAATGCTGAAAATATTTTTATAGATTACCTTTATTTACTTAAGCTTCATTTCTTTATCATAACTACCTTGAATGTAAACACACTGAGTAAAACAGCACTGCAGTTTTGTATTCAAACATTCAAAATTGCCTCATCTTTGAGTCCTGTGGTCAAAAAAAAATTAATCTCGCACTGCTCTCAGTGAGACACTGATTACATGCTGTGAAAAGCTCAAAATGAAAACAACTGCACAAGAAGGATTTTTTTACCACAAAACACAGGGCTAAATATAAATGAAAGCCATCTGGGAATGTGTATCAATAATATGTGAGTGTGTTTGACTCAGTTCTCTGCACTTGGGACTGCGGGGGGGGGGGATCAGACAAGGATTTTACTGTTTTGTTTATTTTGCTGAATTGTGGCTCCAAAGGTTGAAGTTTACACAGCACTAGAACACAATGAGACCCTCTATTTGCCAGCCCTTGCAGCAGTGACCACATGGTCCTCCAAAATGTCCTGACAGTGACCTCAAAAGTAATGAGTGAATCACAGCTCAGAGGATGAGAGACAAACTAACGTTCACGCTGCCTCATCCTCCTGGTCTTTTCCTGCCCCAAGGTCAGGAACTGTGTCAAATTATTTATGTTTCTGATAAAGACTCGACTTCGAGACTCTGAGATAAGACCATCACAGACTTCCTATGTGAGTTGAGACTTTGAAGTCCCGTAAACCAGAGATAAAAATTACATTTTAATATACTTAGTTAGGAAAGCTGCCATATATAGGCAACTGTCTTTCAGATCTTCACTTGCTTCCCAGGGTCCAACTGAACATGTTGTGAGCATGAAATTCAAAGTCCACAGAGAACCTGAGCTGTCAAGAATATTTGCCATGGCTGGAATCAGAACTCTCTCCTACAAGATGGATGGGACCTAGTGAGAAACCCATGGCATGAAAACACTTGGAATGTGCTTCAAGCCACAGGAA